TTCCGCGGAAGGAATTTGCTGCTGTGGCTCCGTTCCAGGGCGGTTGTTCCAAGCCCGGCCCTGGAGGGGTTGCGCGTGATGACTGGGCCTTTGCCCTGCTTTTCCCTTCTCTGTCCTTCAGAGGACCCAGCTGCCCCCCGGTTTCCCCAACATCGACATGGGCCCCCAGCTGAAGGTGGTGGAGCGGACGCGGACGGCTACGATGCTGTGTGCTGCCAGCGGCAACCCTGACCCCGAGATCACCTGGTTCAAGGACTTCCTGCCCGTGGACCCCAGTGCCAGCAACGGGCGCATCAAGCAGCTGAGATCAGGTGAGTGCAGGTGGCCAGGAGGATCTGGGAGCCACAGAGGGCAGCAGGGGGAGGGCAGCATCTCCAGGGCCCAGGCCCTGTGGGCTGATGGGAGGTAGAAAGGCGGAGATGGGGGGCAGCCGTGCGGGGCACTGACGATGGGTGTGTCTTCCGAGCTGGACCAGTGGGGATATAATGGGGCACAGACTGGCAGGGGTGATGGAGCTGTGGTAGATGATAGGAGGAGAGTTCTTTATTGCTGAGTGGGCATATAATGGGCCGTTTTGCACAGTGAGTTCCCAGTGAGGCACAGAGGATGGTGGCTGTCTGCGGTGCCCAGCAGTGAGGACACAGGGGGACAGACAGGCAGAGAGGATGGGAGCCACGGAAGGTGGCCTAGGGAGAGGGTCTTCTGTGCTAAAGTAGTAGGCGTCTCCAGAGGAGAGAGTGAGACACAGGCAGGTAAGGTGTGGGGAACCATGGGGAGCTGCAGGCATAGTGTCTCCAAGGCGGAAGCAGTAAGGAAGCTATGGGCAAAGGCAGGCAGAGGATGGTGGTGAGGTCTGTCTTTATGGGGCACAGACAGGCAGCCTAGCCTGCTTGTCTAGGCCCGGGCTGGGCTAGGGGCCTGGGGGCAGAGCACAAGGCCTCGGTCACCTCAGGGATGGAGCACAGTTGTCTCGGCATAGCACCCACGTGCCCCATCTGTGCGTCCATGTGTCTGGGGGCTGTGTGTGTCTTGTGTCCGTTTTCCCTGCTTCACGACACGTCCATGTGTTTGTCTGGGCTCCCTGTGTGATCTGACCTGTGGCACATGCAGCCATGCCATCAGCACATGGTTCGCCTCCTCCCTCCCAGGGCAGAGCTTGTCTGTGCGCATCTCAGCCACATGTGTACCCATGTTACCGTCCCTTCCGTGCACCTGTACCCAGTGCAGTCCCCCCACGTGCACGCATCTCGGGCACAGTCCCTGTGCGTGCAGACGCGGGTGGTGGGGCTGTGCCCGTGTGCACTCACGCATGTTTCAGTCCATTGTGGGTGCACACGTTGGAACACACCTCTTTTTGCTTTCTCTCCCCTTCCTCTGAGGACTCCGCCTGGGAGCCAGCCGTGCCTGAGGCCTCCCAGTCGTTCTCAATGCCCCTTACTCACTGCCCGGCCACATCTTCCCAGGACCCTGTCCGCCCACCCTCTGCTTTCTGCTTCCCTCCCCAGGGAAGACCCAGGCCCTGAATAAGGGCGGACATTAAGACCAGAATTTCTGCACCTGGGAGAGAGATAGCCTGACCCCCCCCCCCCGACCTGTCCAGAAATATTTGCAGCTTTGGGGGTTCAACTGGGGAAGTGATGGCAACCTTGGGAATCCAGTTGCTTCCCTGCCGGCTTCCACCATTGTCTCCCCTATATAGTGAAGTGATTAAGAGCATGGACCTCAGGACCCGATGCCGGGGTCAGGTGTCAGCTGTGTCCTAGAGCAGGTCCTCTCTGGGTCTCGGTCCCTGGCGCTATTGTGAGGGGCCCAGGATGGAACGCCTGGCACATAGTAGGTGCTCAGTGAACGTAAGCTGCTTTATGAATCCTAATAAATCTGATTACTCTGCCTCTCCCTCCGCACCCCGCACCCACGAGTTTACAGGCGTCTGCACAACCACCCGTTAATGATCCTGTTCTCTCTTTCTTGTCCCTCTGTTGTAAACGTTCAGAAACCTTTGGTAAGTCTCATTTCTTCACCATGTCAACAACTAACGCTCCCTCTGTGTCCCCCTGTCCCTCCCCCTCAGACTAACAGCCACCGTGACCGTAACTGTGACCCACTCCACGTGGCATGTTTACTAACCCAGCCCTCCCCAGTCAGGCGCCAGGGAGCTGCAGAGAGAGGAGCCCAAAAGGGAAAGAGGAAAAAAGGCCACACGGGGCATTCCAACCCCAGGTTGGGTGCTGAGGGGAAATCAGGAGCTTTGCATACAACAACCTACCTGCCCCATTCTGGGCCTTGGCACTGCTGGAAAAAGGCAAAGTGACAGAAGCCCGGGGTCCGGGGCTGCAGTGAGACGGGAGTTTTCTAACTGTGCTGATCATGGGCTCTGCTCATCCTCTTTTCCCAGCATCTAGCCTGAATTCCCTGAAACCAGTTGCTGGGCTAATTCTTACTAAGGTGAGAATGACTGGTAGCGGCCCATGATTTTTCCTTCTTATGTTTCTTTGGCTACATCTTTTTCCTCTCACTACAGTGGCCATGGTCTATTTGGGCATCTTGGGAAGAAGTCCTGTTCGCTAGCCTCTAGCTTCTACCATCATAATCTATGTGTAGTGAAATAGCCCAAAGCAAGGGCTGACCCAGACTCCCAACTGCCCTAGATTCTAGTTCTCCACGTTGCAGCCTTAGGCAAATTCTCATTTCTTCTCAGTAAAGAGGAGAGAGTGGCCTTGTCAGGTTGAGGATTTTGTGAGAGAGAACATGGTGGTTCCAAAAAGTTCAGGCTAGAGAGCCCCCGACCTGATAGGCTGGATAGCTGAGTTCAAGGCCCACCCCTGCCTTTGACTCATGGTGTGACAATTCCCTGGCCCTTCTGGGCCTCAGTTTGCCTATCTGTAAAATGGGCCTGGGCCATGCAAAGGAGCTGGTTTGTTTTTTTTCACCCTCAACATCTCTGCCCTGGCCTTGGGGTCCCCTTGTCCTCAGCAGGGTTATGAGCTGTCATGGGGGGAGTTGGTGAGATACCCCCTTTCCCCTGGAAGATGAGCAGAGGGTGGGGCACTCTAGTCCGGGACCTCCTTTTCCTGTCCCCTGAGTTGTCTCTGCCCCCGTACCCACGTGGACACCCACACAGCCCTTTTTTCCTCTTTTCCTTTTGGAAGTAAAGGAGACTGCAGGCCCTCCCTCGCCCTTTGACCCCCTTCACTACCCTCCCCTGTCTTTCCTACTTGGCCTGTCTGTAACACCTTCCCTTTGCTTTATTAATGCCCGGCCCTGGGGCACTAACCCGTCTCCCACTGTCTCTAACACGATTCCTGAGATCCCTACTGCTCCCTACCCCTCCCAAGAAGGAAAAAAGGAAGGGAGGTCATCGACCTCCCTCCCTCCACCCAGAAGGAAGGCAGCCAGCAGGCCTGGCCCGGCACAGACCTCCGGGGCCTCGATGCCCTCCCTCCCCAGGAGTGCCTGCCTGCCTGCCTGTGGGAAGCCCTCCTGACTGACAAGCCCTCAGACCCACCCCGCTCCTGGGAGCCTGGCCCCCTCTCCTCGGCGGGGTCTGCAAGGTCCTTAGACCCAGGCTGGCTCGGCTCATGGCCTGGCCTGACCCCCCGGCCCCCAGGACTGCCTCCCGTCGTTCACCTGACTCTCTCTGCTTCCCTTACAGAAAGCACTCCGATCCGAGGTAAGAGGCTCTCTACTCACTCACCCACCCACTCATGCTCTCTTGCTGCCCACCCCGCCCCCCAGGCTCCATGGGGGGCTGCCCCGGGCCCCCCTCCACATGTCTCCTCCTCGACACCCTGCCCAGAGTTCTTCCATTCTCTGTGTCTATGTTGCTGTCTGTGGCTCGAGGGCTGAGTCCGGCCATGGTGGCTCCTCAGGCCACCTGGCTGCAGGCGTGGGGCCGCCTCCTGCTCAGGCGCCTCCCATGCCCACCCAGAGTGGGAGAGGCCAGACTGTGACCATTGCTCTGTATGCAGCCCTTGTCCATCTCCAGCCTCCGTTTTCCCATCAGTAAAGTGAGTGTACCAGCACAGAAGGGGTCTCCCAGCTCTGCAGCTTGGATCTGGAGGTTGCAGCCTGAGGGATCAGGGAGACAGGCAGTCTCAAAGGTCTGACTTTAGCCCCAGAGAATAGACTAGAATGGGCCTGAATAGGAGCCCTAGGAAAGAGTCCGTGTCTAATTCGGTGTTTCTATGAAATGCAATGTGAGCTGGGCAGCCTCTCTGCCCTCTCTGGGCCTCTGTGGTAATACTTGCCTTCCTGCTTCCACAGAGCCTTGAAGTTGGGGGAAAGTAGGAATGTTAATGGGCAGACCCTCCTCCGCTTCCCAAGTGACGGGTCCCTTGTCACTCCCCTGGGGCAGCCACGAACAAAGCTAGGAGGCGGGGTCTGCTGGAGCTTGGACTGGATTTCCGGAATCTTGGTGCCAGGGACCCTGACCGAAGCCTGCGATTCTAACCACTTGGAGATACTCACGTCTTCATTTACAGGTCCCTGAGCACGCGGCTCCAGGCCTGTGATTCGGACCCGCTCAGAGAGGTCCACTCCTCTGCACTTACTTGTGGACGTGAGGCTGTGCCGTGCCCTAGGTTTTGGTTTCAGGATTCCGCGGGGAAGTCCTGGGCTCATTCCCATTCACTCACGGGCACTGTAGTGCTCGATCGCAGCCTGTGCTTTCAAGTGTTCTTGAGAAGTTTCATTCATTCTTCTGTGTTCGTGGGAAGTGGCGTCTGCTTTGGGCCTGTGATTTCTAATGTGCTGAGGGGAACTTGGCCCTGTTTTCATTGACCTCGAGGGCACGCAGAGCTGTGATTTGGGCCTGTGGTTTTAAATATGCTTGAGAGAACTGGCCTGTTTAAATTTTTATCCGCTCATGACCAACAAATCCTTTGAGTCAGGCTCAGTGGGTCTCAACCTTCCTGATGCTGCGACCCTTTAATACAGCTCCTCATGTTGTGGTGACCCCCAACCATAAGATGATTTTCGTTGCTATTTCATAACTGTCATGTTGCTACTGTTATGAATCTTAATGTAAATATCTGATATGCAGGATGTATTTTCATTGTTACAAATTGAACATAATTAAAGCATAGTGATTAATCACAAAAACAATATGTAATTACATATGTGTTTTCCGATGGTCTTAGGCGACCCCTGTGAAAGGGTCGTTCGACCCCCAAAGGGGTCGCGACCCACAGGTTGAGAACCGCTGACCTGTCGGCAGGGGTGACCCAGTCCTGACGTTTTGTTCAAACACCTTAAAGAATGACAGCCCTGCCTCTGTTGACTAACGGCACTGGGGGCTCCGGGACCCGTGTTGCACACACACGTGAGGAACCCAGACCTATGTTCCCGTACACACGGGCACTGGGTAAAACCCGCACAGCACCCCAGCTCCCGGTTCCCACATCACCAGGGTGGCCCGTCGGGTCCCCAGGGTCTCGGAATGACCGCTGTGGGTTGCAGATGCTAACCCGTCTCTCCCTTTGCCTGGGCAGCGTCACTCCTGCCTTTGCAAACACACCTTCATGGCACACGCTCCCCCGGCTGGTAGTTCATGTTGGCAGCCGTTTATGAAGCCCCAGCCCCATGACCAGCCGCTTTTACGGTGACAGTGGTGTGTTCAGGATGGTATGGGGCTAGGCACGGGGCTGGGGGGCGGGGGGAGACGAGCCAGGGGGGCGCCGGCTAACGCAACTCTTTCGTCTGCCTCTCCGGCCCAGCCAGAACCAGAGCCGGGCCAGGTGGGGCTCTGGGAGAGCCCTCCGGGCACCCCTGGGCCTCCCCTGACGGGGCAAACTCTCTCCCCTCTCCCCACAGGGGCTCTGCAGATTGAGAGCAGCGAGGAGACCGACCAGGGCAAATATGAGTGCGTGGCCACCAACAGCGCCGGCGTGCGCTACTCCTCGCCTGCCAACCTCTACGTGCGAGGTAGGGAACGCCGTATCCAGGTCGAAGGCAGGGACCCGCCCCATCCCATCCTCCTCCTGGGGCTCGCAGCCTCTGGGCTCCCCTGTCCCCTGCAGACCTGAGCAGGAGGGCACCCGTGCCCAGTCGAGGCAGCACCTTGGGCCAGGCGGCGCCCCTCTCCAGATCTCAGTTTCCTTGCCTATAAAATGGGGCAGTTAAGTCCCCACCCCTGTGCCTTGTGATGGACGCCCGAGTCGGGTACCGGCCTTGGAGGGGGGTAGCAGGAGGGAACAGGGCAGGGCCTGGTAGGGGGGGTCAGGTCAGTCTTGAGCCTACAGGGCCGGGGGAGTCTGCAGGCCTCTGCCCCAACCCGCCCGCCCACCCCAGTCAGCTTCTTCTGTGGTGTGTCGTGCGTGCCTCCCTTGTCATGTGCTCGCTTCGCTTCTCCAAAATCCGTGACCTCGTAACTCGCCTCACTGCCCCCCCCTCCAGCGCCCTCCATCTAAGAGTTGGGGAGGGGTCTTCGAGGGTGCCCCCCATGCTGGCCCTCAGCCTTCCTCGAGCCCAGTGCTCTCTCCCAGTCACCCTCAGAAAGGACTCGTGGGGGCCAGAGCGAGACCAGGGCACAGCCGCACCTGCCCCCAGCGCCCCCGGGGTCTGTCCAGCCAGCCAGGCTTCTCCCGCCCGAGGCATGGGGCTCTTGCCCCAGCCCCGCCCCCCCCCCCAGGAAGCCCCTGGAAGCATCTACACATACTTCCTTTGGGGTCCCTTGGCCCCTCAAAGACCCTGGGGGCTCCCCTGCCCCCAGATGTGTCTGCAACCCCCTTATCCCTGTGCTGCTTCTCTTCGGTCCTTTCAGAAATTTTAATCCGCCTCCTCCACTGTTCTCGTTCCTCCACCTCCTGCCTGATCAGATTTGTGGTAGAAACAGCTTCTGCCTGCCTGCCGTTCAGACCTCAGGGCTGTCCCTGTCCCAGCTGGCTCTGTACCCTTGACGCCAGCACGGCCCTCCTCCAGGCCTCAGTTTCCCCATTCGACACCCCTGCCATGCTTCACCCGGGAGGCGGGCGGCTCCTCCCTCACCCACTGCCCACCAAGCACCGCAGCCCACCGGCCCGGAAGCCGCTCCTTGGTTCTGCACCTTGGGTTTTGCATCTGCTCTCTGAGGAGGAGGCTGCATGGAGGGAGGGGACGGGGACGCGGGCGGGCGGGTGGGCAGGCAGGGCAGGGGGCACGCATTTGATCCGCTGCCACGGCCCCTCTGGTGAGTTCTAGTGCGTCCATGGCTCCAACTGACTGGTCTTTGTCTAACCTGCTTATTTTTCTGCAAACACCTGGGATGGGGTGTAGCAGTCTGGCAGAGCTCAAGCAGGGTGGGGGCGGGCCTCTAGCCGGGCTGTGCCGAGGAAGAGGGGCCCTTGTGTCCTCAGCCCCCCAGAGGTGGGGTCCCCGGCATGTGCCTCCTTCCTTTGGGGGGGTATCCAGCCTCCCAGTCTTTGCCTGGGTCTCAGACGCTCCATAATTGAACTTAAAAAAAAGAATTGTGGAAGGCAAGTATAGATCGTGTTTGTCAAGGAAGGAGTGGAGGAAAGGAAAAAGGTCATTGCTGTTCTTTTTTATTTTTTAATTTTATTTTTATTTTTTGGTTTAAAGAAAAGAAAACAACAAACGATTGCAGCTTTTAGCCTTGGGAAGTCCTCTTTTTACTCTCTGTATCTCCCCTATTTTTTCTCTCCTCCCCATGTCATTGTGTTCTGCATCAAACCCCCTTTACATCCCTCAGAGCTTCGAGAAGGTTGGTGTGTTTTTTTCTTTTTTACTTTCTTTACCCACATTTTTACATTCTGAAAGTGACACACACACACACCACACACAAACACACACACGAAATACACACAGACACACACATGGACACACAGACACGCACATGGAAAATGCTAGAGAAATGAACTAAAAAAAAAAAAAGAACGGAATGCGAATAATAAGCGCAAAGCAAACAAAACAAAAAACCGCCAAGCGTGAGCAAAAATCCAGAAAGACACGAAAATCTCAGCCGCGCCCAGCCCGGCCTAGGGCAGGCCGCACACATGCGATGCTTGCATTGTGGTCGCCTCTATGCATCCTGTTGGTAATGTTGTTGCTAAGTTTTTTGCACTCCTCGTCGTCATGGTAACTTGGGCCTGATGCATGCTGGGAGAATGTAAAAATTTCTCTGCATGCCACTCTTGTCGGTTCGGTTTGGTGAATTCCCAACGCCTTCTGTTGGAGTGTTTCTCGTCTTCCGTTCCGTTTTTCTCTTTTGGTTTTCTTCATTTTTCTTTCTTTGTTCCTTTTGTTTAATTATGAGGTTTTTTTGTTTTGTTTTGTTTCATTTTGGGGGGGAGGGAATCGTTATTTCCCCCCCTCCCATCCCTTTCACCCAGCCCCCTCCTCCTCCAAAGCGTTTTGTCTTTGGTTCTGTCTTGTGTTTCTGTGCTATTTGATTTCGGTTTCTTGGGCTGAGCTGTTCTGTGGTTGTTCTCCAAACGCATTGTGATTTACAAGCCAGTGTTCCTGTCCCAACTACCACCTGGGAGGGTGGAGGTCCCACAGCTGGGATGCTGGGCAGAAAGTGACCGCCCGGGTTCAGGGGGTGGGCGCATAGACAGATGATGGGAGGTGGTCATAAGTTGGTGGGGTGTGTGGGATGAGCAGCCCAATTTGCCTGACCCTCCCCAGCCAGCCCCCTTGTACCCAGATCTGGCACCTCAGCCTTGCCAGGCAGCAGTGTGGGAAGGGGACTTAAGCAGGCAGGTTCCCATCGTCTGCCTCAGCATGAGACCACCTCCCACTCTCCCAAACAGCCCCCCCAAAAAACAGGCATTTGCAGTACAGCTGAATGGGCCGTCGGCATTTTGAGTTCTTGTTCGATGTAGTGACAAGTCCAAATGTGGGACGTGGCTCCCTTAAACCGGACCATCCTCCCAAAATGATGCATGCTTGACACTTAGGCAGCATTCAGAATGGCGGCTGGTGTGTGACTTCGTGGGGCCTGGCTGGGCACAAACACGGAACCGCCCCTCAGAACGTGTAGCATGACAGACTGGGGAAGTACTTCGCCAGATTCCCGGCCTCCGCCTCCCCGGCAGCGTCGGCTGATTCCCCCACCACCTCGCAGGCTCTGGGTCTAGTCACAGGTGTCTTTTGTCCAGACATAGAGCACGGTCACTTTCTGAGTCCCTGAGCATCAGAACTGTGGAGCCTCTCCGCCCCTCTCTCTGCCTCCCCGATTCTCTCTGCCTTTCTCTCTGTCAGCTCTCTTTCTCTCTGTGTCTCTCTCTCTGTCAGCTCTCTTTCTCTCTGTGTCTCTCTCACTCGCAAACCTTCAGCGATGCATGCTCCCATCATTTGCTCCAACCCCCAAACCAGCCTCCAGTAATATCCACTTAGATTCCTAATCTCCAGCCCCAGCCACGCCCCAGCACAGATGGTCACTGAGGGCAGAGGCAGCCTCTCTGGGGTCCCCTTTTCCCCCCCTTGTCCCTTCACTTAACTCCCAATTATTAAGCCTAGGGCCAAGTTGGCAAGAGGAGTTTGGATGCAAAAAGAGGAGATGTATTTCTCTTGTCTTTTTTAATCCACGGTGAGAGCGTCAGGCTGACCCTCAAGGAAGTTCCAAAAGACGGAAGAGAGGGGTCTCCCAGCCCCTCTACCAAAATCATGTCCCAGTGAGTTGGAGCTGAGGGTCTCTGAAGGCCACTTGGACTTTGGGGGCAGTATTGCCTAGTGGTGAGAGCACAGACTCTGTGCTCCAGCAGACGCGGGTTCAAACCCTGCCTCTGCTTCCTGGCTGTGTGGCTTTGGGCTAGTCACCATTTCCTCTTCTAAACAGTAAGGATCATTAGTATGCCTAGCTCACAGGGTAGCTGGGAGGATTCCATCCAGCTAATTAATGCTCCTCAAGTGCCCTGTGTAGTGCATGGCACAGAAGAAATGGCTGGTGGGGTTGTGGTAGAACAGGGAAGTAAAGCGTTCAAGCAGATGACCTGGACCAGGCACTGGCCTTGTTTGGGGACCTCAGTTTCCCTGTTACGTCCTTTGCAGATCCCCTGTTTGCATAAGATGGCTTATGGGAAAGTGCTTTGAGAAGAAGGGCAGAAGCTAATTCATTTGCTCAGATCTCATTTTTTGCTGGTGCTTTTCTGAGGCCATTTCATGATCTCATTTTCTCCTGGCTCCAAACCCATTCCCGTGAGATCAGTGGCCTCCCCAGAGCCACGTCTCTCCTCCTGTGCCCTGTCATTCCCCCAGGCAGCTCTGTGGCCACAGTATCAGAAGCGGGGGGAAAAAATAAAGGCCCAGTGTGGGTGCTAGGCTACCCTTGCAGATAAGTCCCAGCCCACCCCACGAGATCTGGGCCACCTGGCACATTCTGCCCTCGAGGCTACAAGCATTTACATTGTTGCCGGAGCAGCCAGCCCTGGGAGTTAATTGCAAAGAATTTCCAAATCTAACTCTTTTTTTTCAATTCACAATCTCCAGCTTTGCTGATCCTGGGTTGTTTAGGGGGTGGACTATTCAGACTTGCCCTTCTCCTGAACTTCATCTCTGAGATCCAAAGGCCCAAAGTCAAAACCAGGCCCATTTTGTAATTCAGCTGGCAGCTGCACTCCCAGAACTCCCCTGGGGAGGTGCAGCCAAGGCTTTTGACAAGCTGGGAAGATGCCAGACTATATGCTCCCTGGCTGTTAAAGTTGTTTTTTCTCTTTAAAACCGTAAGCCGTGAAGGTGTGAATTCGTGGCCAAAGATGGTATCTTTCCCGCTTGGTCTAGCGACGGAGCTTCATCGAACCACGATGCACAGGACCCAGGAAATGGTGTGCCACACAGCCCTGTGGTGGGGACACGCAGGGAGAACGCAGAGCAGCTGGAGGGAGACCTGGGGAATAACTTTCACTTTCCAGGGACTTAAGATTAGGGTTTTGGAGGAGGCCATGTGGGGCTGGCGTCACTTACCGCCGGCCTCGAATGCCGAGCTGAGA